AACTAAAATAAATGTCCTAATGTTTCTGATAATTCAAAGTGTTCTCATGCTTTTTCACCTATGGAAACAAACTTTTGTGAAAATTACCTCCTTTTTCTATAAATACCTCCTGTACATACTCTAGAACCTTTTCCATTCTTCAATATTTCTTGAACTCTCAGCCATATTTGACATTGATACCCAACCTGTTATTCTAATTTTTTGCAATAACCTTTTTATTTTGGAATAATATTAAATTTATAGAAAAGTTGCAAGGATAGTATAGACAGTTTTGATATACTGCTTACCAGGTCTCCCCTACTGTTAAGATTTTATATTACCATGGTATACTTGTCAAAACAAAGAAACTGACACTGGTACATTAGAATTAAGTAAACTAAACTACACACTGTATTTGAATTTTACCAGTTTTCCCACCACTGTCTGCTTTCTGTTTCAGGACCTCATCTAGGGCATCACATTGCCTTGAGTTATGTCTCCCTAGTCTCCATCAGTCTATTTCTCAGTCTTTGTTTTTCATGACCTTGACGAGGTTGTGAGTACTGGTCAGGTAACCTGTAGAATAGCCCCCAGTCTGGGTTTGTTTGATGTTTTTCTCGTGATTAGATTGTGGTTATGGGTTTTTGGAAAGAATACCACAGAGGTGAAGTGTTCTTCTGATCACATATGAAGGCGCACATGATATCCACATGACATCACTGGGGATGTTAACCTTCAATAGTTGGGTAAGGGACAGTTCTATGGGTTTGACGAATGCAGCGTCACACCACCGTGTCAGTACTGTACAGAATAATTCCTGCACTCTAAAAGTTCCTCTGTACGTTTGCTTCGTGGTCAACACTCCCCTCTTCTCCACATCCTGGAAACCACTAATACGTTTTCCATCTCTATAGTTTGCCTTTTTCAGAATGTTATACGAATGAAAGTGTACAATTTGTAGCCTTTTGGGTCTGGCTTCCTTCACTTAGTAAAACGCATCAAAGATTCATTGATGTGTGAATCAATACCTTGATGCTTTTTATTGATAAACAGTATTCCATTGTATGGATACATCAGTATTCTCCACTGTCCTGTTGAGTGGACATCTTGGTTACTTTAGATTCTTAGTAATTACAAAAAAAGCCACTATAAACATTTGCATACAGGTTTTTGGGTGGACAAGTGTTTTAAATCACTTTGGTAAATGCCTAGGAGTGCAATCACTGGGCCACACAATAAATCTGTAACATTATGAGAAACCGCCAAACTGTCTTCCAAAGCGACTACACTATTTCACATTCCTCCCAGCAACGAATGAGAGGTGCTGCTGTTCCACATCCTTACCAGTCTGTCTTATTGCTAGTTCTTTTGGATTTTAGCCATTCTAATAGGTGTGTAGTGGTAGCTCTTTGTGGTTTTAATTTGCATTTTCCTAATGATATATAATGCTGAGAAATATCTTTTTGTGTGTTTGCTATCCTTACATCTTTTTCACTGAAGAGTCTTGTTCAGGTCTTTTTTTCTTTTGGTGAGGAAGATTAGCCCTGAGCTAACATCTGTTGCCAGTCCTCCTCTTTTCACTGAGGAAGACTGGCCCTGAGCTAACATCTGTGCCCATCTTCCTCTATTTTATATGTGGGACATCTGTCACAGCATGGCTTGATAAGTGGTGCATAGGTCTGCACCCAGGATCTGAATGTCCAAACCCGGGGCCACCAAAGTGCAGCACACAAACTTAACTACTGTGCCACCGGGTCAGTGCCGGTTCAGGTCTTTTGACCTTTTTTAATTGCATTGTTTGCTTTCTTATTGTTCAGTTTTAAGACGTCTTTATATATTCCAGATACAAGAACTTTATCAGATATGTAATTTGAAAATATTTTCTCCAAGTCTGTGACCTATCTTTTCATTTTCTTAATAGTATTTTTCACAGAGCAAAAGTTTTTAATTTTGACAAAATCAACTTATCAATTTCTCCCTTCATAGATCATGCTTTTTGTGTTGTATTTAAAACCTTATTGCCAAATCCAAAGTCAAGCAGATTTTTCCTTTGTTTTCTTCTAGAAGTCTGATGTTTTACATTTCATTTAGGTCTATGACCCATTTTGAGTTAATTTTTATATAAGGTGTGAAGTATGTGTCTGTGCTCTTTTATTTTCTGACATATAGCTTCTGGATTCCAATGATTCCAGAACTATTTGTTGAAAAGACTATCTTTTCTCCACTGAATTACCACTGTACCTTTGTCAAAAACTAAGTTGACTATATTGTGTGGGTCTATTTCTCGGCTCTGTTCTGTTCCATCAGTCTATGCGTCTACCCTTTTGCCAATACCAGCCTGTTTTGATTGCTGTAGGTTTAGTAACTCTTGAAATTGAGTAATGTGAGTCCTTAAACCTTTACTCTTGAAAATCCCTACATTGGCGGCGGGGGGGCGGGGGGGCGGGGGCGGGGGGAGGAGGATCTCCTAGGTAAGAAATAAAAGATTGAGGGGAAACAAACTCTGTATGGAAAAAGGTTAAGCAGTGGATGGTTCTCTCTCTCTTACTTTCCTTATATCTTCCCTCTTCCTTCCTTTATTTGTTAGTCTCTTTATGGAGAAAAAGGGAAGATACTGGGCAGACAGCCTACCTCATCCTTCATTAGATGATTCTCTTTTGGGGATCCTAAGGACCAAGGGACATCTATTTATTCACACAATTTGGTGTATTTTAAAAATTTTATAGTACTGTAAGATTTTTGAGAAGATGAGAAAAACTAGCATTTAGTAAACCATAAGTTGTCATCTAAACCTGAAGTTAGTATTATCTAGTAGAATTAGTTACGAACAAATGAATTATTTTGGTCTACTTACAAGCAGACTCATGCTGGTCATAATGCTTCAATCTTTGTGGATTTAAATGAAAGTGTAATTATTTAATATAAGTTGTCACTACAAAACAATCTCTTTTTAAAAGAACTATTGCATCTAAGTTGTTTCACATAAGGATATTATCAGCATGTTGGAGAGACAAGACAAACACAACTGTAAGTGAATATAACATTATACATTAGAGCATTGCAAATAGCATCACATTTAATAAAGATTCTGAATTACAGTTTTTCAAATCACATCTAATAATTTCAATATCTGAATTCTTTGTAGGTCTGGGATGTGTGTATGTGAGCATGTGTGCATGTTAGGTTTTGCTCATGGAGACAGCCTTCTCGTGTGACTGGTATGTTCTAAATTGTGTGCTAAACATATTATACTTGAAATTTTACTTTGAGGAAGAATTTGAGACCTAAGATAAAGATAATTCCCTCTAGAGAGGATCTGCATTTGCCTCTGCCATATCTGAATGTACTACTAGAGCAGCACCACCTCAGATCAAATTCTAGATTTGGGAAGCTCTTTTAGTCCCAGGGGATTGAAACTGGGCTGAAATGTCTCAAAGGTTGTTGCACTTCCTAGGTGGTGCTCAACTTAAGGGCATATCTATTTGAGACCCTACCTTACTCTGTGCAGGGTTCTAACCTGTCCAGCAGGCCCCAGGCTTTTGTTTCTGTCTCCCTCACCTAGTAAGGCTGTCTCAATGGAGGTTCTAAATTTTCCAGGATTAGCAAACTCCTCAGGGCAAAGAGTGCTTTCAGCACTCTACTCCCTCTGTCAGCCAGTACTTCTTTTTTGTTTTATAATCTCTTTGATACATTTAAGATTAAAAACAAAATTCATATCTAGCCTTTAAATTGTTTTTAGTAGGAAGGTTGATCCTAATAACCTAGCCCACTATTCAGGGAAAAAAAAAATCCTCCTTGGTTACTTTTCAGAGTACAGTTTGGATATGACAGAAGAAATGAAAGGAGTTATACCAAAAAGAAAAAAAGGGCTGGTGAACTACAAGACAAAAAATGCTAACCTCTGGTTCAAGAAGTTTGGCAGTGAAGGAAAAGAAAAAAATTTTAACAGAAAGAACAGTAGAATTGGAGCAAAATGTTGGATTGATTTTGTATTAAGTAGAGGAGATGGAATCCAATGAGAATAAAAGGCTAAAGATGCTAGACCATTTGACCCAGATATTCTATTCCTAGGTGTATGCCCAAGAGAAATGAAAACACACGGCTACACAAATACTTGTACATGAATGTTCACAGCAGCATTATTCATAATAGCAAAACGGTGGAAACTCAAAATGTCTACCAATTGATGAATCCATAAAGTGTAGTGCAGCCATAGAACGGAATATTCTTTGGCCGATAGAAAGGAACAAAATATTCATACATGCTACAACATCAGGATGAACCTTTAAAAGACTAGGCTAAGTGAAAAAAACCCCATATGATTCCATTTATATGAGATGAGCAGAATGGGCAAACCTACAGAGACAAAGTAGATTCATGATTGCTAAGGGGTGGGAGACATGGGAAGATGGGAGTGACTGCTAAAGACTATGGGGTTTCTTATAAAGGTGCTAAAAATGTTCTAAATTTGACTGTGGTGATGGTTGCACAACTCTGTGAACATATTAAAAACCACTGAATTGTCCTTTTTTTTTTTTTTTTTTGAGGAAGATTAGCCCTGAGCTAACATCTACTGCCAAGCTTCCTCTTTTTGCTGAGGAAGACTGGCCCTGAGCTAACAACTGTGCCCATCTTCCTCTACTTTATATGTGGGACACCTGCGACAGCATGGCTTGCCGAGTGGTGCCATGTCCGCACCCGGGATCTGAACCGACAAACCCGGGGCTGCTGAAGCAGAACGTGCAAACTTAATGGCTGCACCACTGGGCAGGTCCCTCCCTGGATTGTCCATTTTAAATGAGTGAATTGCATGATACGTGAATTATATCTCAATAAAACTGTTAACCAAAACATTTTCTTTTGAGATTCTTTTCCTGATAAACTCTAATACCACTTTGCATATTTCTTTTTATTCTTTATCCACTCGGCACTTATTTTCTAAATACGTATTATTCTATAAATCATCAATTGCATAACACTTGTTTCAAAGCTTTAATTTGAACTTGCGAAATTAACCTTACTTTTCCTTCTTGCTTTTCGGAACTTGACAGCAGCCAGATTAATTAAATTCATTCCATACAGATTGTAGTCAATGAAGAGCTGTAGGAGGTAGGGAATATGCGCTTCATGAGGCTGGTAATATCTATTCATTATGGCTCCACTTTGCAAAAGTTCACATATCCTAAATCAGAAAAAAAAAGTTATGTCATAAAATTATGTTTCCTAAAATATAGTGAAATAATGATTATACTAATATAGAGAATAAAATACATTATACTAGCACACAAATTTTTCATTTCAACTTTACTGGAAGTTTGTATTTTGTTAGAAATTAAAAGTTTAAATCAAGTTTTAAAGAAAGCCGTGTACTCTGAAAGAAAATGACAAAAAACTTCTTGGATGAAGAATATTTTGACTTTTAAAACCAATTTAAGACAAACTACATTAAAAAACCAAAATGTCAAAAAGTTTTTGAAATATGAGTTTTCCTTTTAAAAACGCAGAAAAAGTTTTCAAAAGATTATACAAAAATTCTTAAAAAAGGAAATATGACTCAATCCACCACTCAGGGATGTTACTATTGTAGTATTTTTCTTCCGAATTGTTTTTTCTTCATGATGGGGAATACAAACAATAGGCAATTATAAATAGTGTAAGTGCCATGCAGGGCAAGTATATGAACATCTAGAAGGAACATTATTCAGACCGAGGTGCAGAGGGAGTGTCTACAAAACTTTCTTGAAGAGAAGTCGCTAAGCAGGAGACCAAACGATGAACTGGAGATACTTTTTCTCTGAAGAGAGGAAGAGCATTTCATGCAAATAAAATTGCACACATAAAGGTCAAGAGAAAACATGGCTTATTCAGGAACTGAAACCATTGACTGAGGGAGGCCTAGTGACAGAGGCTGTGGTTGGTGAGAGAGGCTAGAGAGGTAACGAGAAATCAGGTCATGCAGAGCCCATTAAGACACGTGAAGAGGTAGTGGAATTTGCCTGTGAAGTGAAGAGTAGGAAAGTGAAGTGAGCAGGTTAGCTAGCGAACGCACAAGACTAGAGCTAGGGAGTGAGGAGTGAGAAGGCTACTGTGGAAAAACTAAGATGATGGTGACTTTGACAAGGATCACAGAAACGTGTTGATTCAGGAAGTATATAAGGAATAAAATGGTCAGACCTTAACGACTAACTAGACATGGAAGGTGTATAGAATAGGAGTGGAGGGTAATGCCTAGATTTTTTGCTTAAGCAGCTAGTTGCGGTGCTGCATTTACTGAAATAGAAAGGACTAAAAGAACACAGGTTTATTTGGAGATTTTCCTTTTGGAGAGGGAATAAGGATAAACTCAATTTTAGACATACTGGGCTTTAGGTATAGTGGGGTATTTCATACATTCTCTGAAAATATCAGAAATAAATGATAATGAAGATGAGAATAAGAATAATTTTATTAACACAGCAGACGCAGCTAACGTTTTTGAGCACTACATACTGAACACTCTGTTAGGTGCTTTAAATGCTTAATCTCAAGTAATCCTCACTAAAAATCCATGGTACTATCATCCCCATTTTATAAATAGAGAAACTGAGTGTTAGAGAGATTAAAAAGTTGTCCAAAATCACATGGATATAAAGCGGAAGAGCTAAAATTCAAACCAAATTTTCTTTGACTGGTGAATCTTCACTCTTAACTACGGTGCTATTCTATTTATCCGGTAGATGGTTTGATACCTATACTGATCAAGAGCTTTGGAGGGATAGTTAGGCTACTGATACACACTCGGAAGTCAAATGCATAAAAATCAACAAAAACCAAACCAAACCATGGGAGTAGTTAAGGCTACAGAGGGAGGAGACATACAGAGAGAAGAGACGAAAGCCTGAGACGGAACCCCAGGGAACAACCACAGATGTTAAAAGAGGAACCAACAAACTGGCATAAATATGAATGATCAGATGGGTATGGGGAAAGCCAGAGGAAGTTTATAGCAAAGAAACCAATATTTGGGATTATTTTAAGGCACAGTAAGCATTGAGACGAGGTCAAAAGGTAAGGACAAAAAGGTGTTAACTGGATTTAACATGGAGGTCATTAGTGAAGGCAATTTTAGTGGAATGGTTGGGGTAGAAGCCATAGCAGAGTATTAACGAGTGAATGGGAGATAAGAAATTGGATACACAAAGTACAGATAAATCCTTCTGGGGGAAGAGCTATGAGTATGAATGCATGTGTGTAAAATTAACAGAGTCTTATTAAAATCTAAACGGTGTGGAAAGGGAGATGGGGATAACTGATAAATGGAAAAAAAGGTCAAAGAGAGTAGATCTTGAGCTTTGGAGGTGAGAGGGAAAATCTTTCACTGTAATAGGCAGCAAAAAGGAGAAAATGAATGTTAATAGAGTTTAAGGATCTTTGACAGAAAATTAAGAGAAAATATTCCAGTGTTTTCAAACCTTTTGGTCCAAGGAAATTTTTTCACTCTTAAAAATAACTGAGTGCACCAAAGAGCTTTTGTTTATGTTGTTCATACACATTGATATTTACCATATTAGAAGTTAAAACTGAGAAATTTTTAAGAAACTTATTTACTAATTTTAAAATAATAATAAACCCATTATATGTTAACACAAATAACCTTGTTTTATAAAAAATAACTATATTTTCCAAAACAAAAACAATTTAGTGAAAAAAGAGAAACTGGTTTATGTGTTTGCAAATCTGTTTAATAGAAGACAGCTGGATTCTCACATCTGCTTCTACTCAGTCTGTTGTGATATATTGTTTTGGTTGAAGCATATGAAGAAAATCCAGCCTCACACAGATATGTGGCTGGAAAAAGGAAGGTAACTGAATAGCACTTTCAGATAAATGGTGAGCTGCTTCTTTGATACTACATGGAAACGCAACAGAGTGGTAGTTTCTCAGAGGTTCGCAACAATGCAGAATTTGAAACCGGATCCATGAACTTTTTGTACCATTACATTAAAATCTATTGGTCTGTCTTATACTTTGAATAATTTTACCCATGCATGATTTTCTAACATCATGCACTGGTCATTTGGAAAATATAGGTCCACTAAGTTATACAGATATTCTAAATGTTGATACACTTCATTAAACAATATAAAAAAAATCATTTGTTAATACTATCACCTATCTCATCAGAAAGATCTTTAAGTACTAGAAAGGTTTTAAGTTCACAGTAGCAATAAAGTTTTCCAAACTTTTAATGTTTGCTTAAAAGCTCAAATTTTATCATTGGCAACAAACACTATGAGTTTTCTTCTTTGAAGTGACAGGCCCACTTTGTTCATTTTCAGAAGATGTCTGTGAGAGAGGTAAACCATTGTAACTTGACTTGGGCCAAGGTGCCAGCAGTTTTACCCAGCAACAGCGAACACAGTGAAGAAGGTGAATCACATCTTAGTACTATTATGAAAATAATTTTGACAATGCATATCCCCTGAAAGGGTTTCAGGAGTCCCCAGTCCACACATTGACAACCACTGTTCGAGACTGATGGGTTCTATTTTCTCCACGAAGTAGGAGACAAAGCCTCAGAAGGAGCTTTACATTTGAGTAAAGAGTGTGGAAAACGGTTAGGAGAGAATTAATAAGAGAAAAATAGAAGGCAGGGCAGAGCCCAGGTGAAGTTGAAGACCATGAATTTACAGTGCTTTTTTGTGGTATCCTGCATAACCAGAAACCAGACTTTAGCAGAGAGAAAGCAAACAAATAGATTAATCCCGAATTGACGTCTTCACCTGGCAGGCAAAGGAGTTGAGAAGATACAGAATATAAGATGGAAAGGAAATAAATTAATTGTAGGAGGAGGCTACAAAATGGGGTAGTAGTAGTGGGGCCAAGGAGTTTGAAGCCTAAAAACAGGTAGAGTGGGAGTAACTCAGGGACAGAATTAAAAAGACAACAAAAACCAGACATAAAGGACTTACTGCAGCCATGAAAAAGTTCTAAAACTGAATTAGAGTGATAGATGCCCAACTCAGTAAATTTACTAAAAATCACTGAATTGCGACACTTAAAATGTGTGAATTTTGTGGCATGTAAATTATATCTCAAAAATTTGTTTTAAAAAAAGAAGACTAGTCAGAAACCAGGAAGTCTGCATTTTAAAGCTCAGAGTGGGGCTGGCCCAGTGGCGCAGTGGTTAAGTTTGCACGTTCTGCTTCTTGGTGGCCCAGCGTTTGCTGGTTCGGACCCTGGGTGAGGACATGGCACTGCTTGGCAAAAGCCATGCTGTGGTAGGTGGCCCACGTATAAAGTAGAGGAAGATGGGCATGGAAGTTAGCTCAAGGCCAGTCTTCCTCAGCAAAAAGAGGAGGATTGGCAGCAGTTAGCTGAGGGCTAATCTTCCTCAAAAAAAAAAAAAAAAGGTAGGAAAGTTTCAGGGTGTGTTTCAGGGTCAGAGAATTTCAGGGTCAAGAGAGTAAGCAGTTTAAGAAGAATGGAAGTAAAGATCATAGGAGATGGGCAAGTAGATGAATCAAGAGGCCAGTCCCCAAACGATATGTATAGTGTTCATTTATTCATTCCACAAATAGTTACTGACTAACTACTATGTGCCAGACACTATTGTAAACACTGGAGATTCAGCAGCAAACATAGCAGAAAAAAATCTTTGTCCCTGCGGACTTACCTTCCAACATGATACCAATTTTATACAGAAATTTTTAAAAGAGGATATGTGCATATAGATGTATGAAAAATAGAAGGACGTACACCAAACTCTTAAAAGTGATTGTTTCTAGGGAAGAGAGTTTAAGAGAGAGGGTAAGGCTCATAAGTTGCACTTGAACATTTTACATATATACTATAGCCAATATTTACACAGCACTTATGTATCAGGTACTGTCCTGAGTGATTGACAGATATTAACACATTTGATCGTCAGAACAATGTGTATTAACATCAACCCTATTTACAGATGAGGAAGCTAAGGCACAGAGAGATTAAATAACTTGCCTAAAGTCACCCAGCTAGAAAGTAGCAGAGACAGATTTTGATTGCAGGTAATCTGGTTTCAGAGTCTGGACTCTTCACCACTACATTATGTTTTAGTTAAATACCATAACGCAAACGATTCATGTATAAAGGTACTATAAAAATTAACAAAAAAAAAAAAGAGAGAAAATATCTTCTTTCATAGAACCCTGTTCTTTTCCTTAATTGCATGTATCACATGTTTGGTTACATACTTGGGTTGCTTGTTTACTGTCTGTCTCCCCTGCTAGGCTGTAAGATCCCTGAGGGCTAGAACCATGCAAACTGTGTTCACCACTGTTTACCCAGCAAATTCCATAATGCATCAAATATAAATGTACACATTTTAGAAATATTAAAAAATGAGTAAATGAATGAATCTGTCAATAAATCAGGGAATTTCAGATAGGCACTATGATAAGCTAACTATATAATTTAAAGCAAACTTATTAGAAATAGTTTAATAAGTATTTGATGCTACAGTCAGAAGGAAGAAAAACAGATTTATACTTCAAATAGAACTACAGTTTACAGATTATTTATAAAAGACACATGCAAATTTTATTCATGGTTTCCTCTCTAGCACAATTGGGGATGAGAAAGAGGAAAACGGCTGAGGTTCACTCTCTTACCACTGTGTGTACAAGAGAGGGTAAGAATCCACAGGGACAGCTCTTTTGTTCTCTAAGGATAAGAGAAAGTGTGACTGGAGGGGAACTGGTCTAAGAAATATCATTGTGGGCTGGCCTGGTGGCTCAGCGGTTAAGTGTGCACGTTCCCCTTTGGCGGCCTGGGGTTCGCCGGTTCAGATCCTGGGTGCCGACATGGCACCGCTTGACAAGCCATGCTGTGGCAGGCATCCCACATATAAAGTAGAGGAAGACGGGCACAGATGTTAGCTCAGGGCCAGTCTTCCTCAGCAAAAAGAGGAGGATTGGCAGCAGATGCTAGCTCAGGGCTAATCTTCCTCAAAAAAAAAAAAAAAAGAAATATCATTGTCTGTTAAGTGCCTATTCTGAAAAACTGTTTTGGTGCCCTACATAACAGAAGATGTTTGGGGTAAGGTTAGGGGCAGGTTTTAGAGAAAACTAGTTTTCACTGGTTACTCAGAGAAGGGAATAACCTTTGGGATTAGGGCTGTGATTCAGTGAAGTACTCAACTGGTCTAATTTAAAGTACACCTCCTATCCTTGGTGGCTGTGCCTCTCTTGGTGCCTAAATTCACTCTGGGGAAACATCCAATTTCTGTCTTACCAAAAGGTTACCTTTTGGAACCTAGTACCTACTAGCAGAGAGGATCTTCTGAAAAAACTACACTCAGAGATTCTTCAAGCCACTTTTACCCTAGCTCATCACCACACGGGTTTTTTTTTAGGCTTGTTTTGAAGCCTAAAGAATGACTGAAGTCTTCCCTATATGTGTCCTTCCTTCTCTGAAGAACTTGGACTCTAGGATGTTTGAGAGAATAAGCTACAGGTAGAGAGATTTATTGAGAGAAGGGGGAAAAAAAAACACCCAGAAACAAACGAAACAAAAACCTGAGATGTAAAATTTCACCAACATCAATAAGGAATCAACAGGATTCTGAGATCTCGGAACCCTCCCACAGTGGCCTCACCCTCAAACACTTCTTGCTTTGAAACTGAAGAGCAAATTTCTCTTGGTACTGAACATCTGGTCTGGCCAGCAGGGCACTAAGATCACACAGACAGCCATCAGCTCTCCTTATCTACTTCTACAAACTCGCCAAGACAGAAAAGAAGCAGTTAAGAGCTATAAACCAAGGTCCATTCACCCTTAACATATCCTTCCTAGAGTCCAAGCCATGGGTCTCTCTCTTTATACATTATGTATATAATATGGTCTCCTTTTTAGTAATGCTACAAACTATATAGGCCTTTCTTATAGATTTTTCTTTTATTATTAAATTAATGAGTTATTCATATTTTTATTTCACTTATCTTTGTACCTTTTCACCATTGCAGGATTGTAAAGATAGATCTTCATAAAGTGTCTCTCCTTCTCATGATAACCATAAAAAGGCCTGAAATAAAAGAAAAAGATATTTCATATTATTTTCATCATTCAGAGATGAAATAATGCAACTTATAGCCCTAATTAGACTCAGCTGGCTTAATTCAGTCTTACTTATATTTAATATTACCAAAAAACAACAAAAAACCTCTAAGACCTATCAATCAAATTTACCACAGGTTAACACATGAAATATTGAAATCTGGTTACTTCTTTTAAAAAGTTTAAAAACACTATTTTAAAAAAACTAGGGACGAAAAGGAGCAGCAAACTATTTATACCTTAATTTCAATCACTGTAACTCTATTAAAACGTGGCTCTTTTCTCTTTATTCTGAGCATGTATAAGAAAAACAGAGACTTTTCAGGCACCTTCTTCCATTACCCATGTTTTCTGCCAAAAACTAAAGCTCTTCATTTAATTAAAAGTCCTTTAATTAACAGCATTTATATTACTTTCCTTGTCTCTGTTTATTATTAATTTTGCTAGTTCACTAAGCAGAGACAATTTACCTATTTTATGTATGTATGTAGGTATGTATGTGTATATAACACACATCCAAATCAAATGAAGCCTGTGAAAAGTGTGTAGACAGAAACTTAAGAGATTGAAAAGATCATGGCCATACTTAAGGACTCTAATTATGCTGAGGCTGGGTTTTTCTCAGGGCATCAGCTGGAACAGGGAAAGGGAGAAGCAAAAATCCACATGACAGAGAGAGAAAGAAGTCTTCAGTGAAAGATGAAATAACTTGGGCTATCATGTTATATCATTTCAGGAGGTTCTGAAACTATCCAGTACGTCTGATATACAGGCTACCATTTTCAAAGATGATGTAATTAGAAACAATATATGAACAGGTCTGAACTTGTAGACAAAATTAAAGTTTTATATCTGCCTAGAGTTTCTCTGCAAATAAGTGGCTGGTTAAGTCTTTAGGTGGATAAATCCAATCACTTTTCATTTTAAAAATATTGTCCCTTTATGACAGGCACTAGATAGAACTTTCCCTCATTAGGACGCCATTTCTGACATGTCTGATAGTGTAGTGGACATCAAATATCATTATTTGGGGTATATTTAAACAATTTTTTTAAAAGTTGTTTCCAGTCCTTAGGTCAGAGCCACCTGTATGACTGCTGTAAAGCAATTTCTATTAAAAACAATCTAACTATTTACCAAGGTCTAAAGGTTTTTTATCTTGTCCTTGCCACTTATTTCAATCTTACATCACACCTCTCTTCCTTTTTCCTCCACCATTCTAAACATTTCACCCCTCTAACCTGATCCACTCTCAGGTAACTTGCCATTCCCTCTGCCTGGAAAGCTCTGCCCTGAGCCTTTGTATGGCTTGCTTTCAAGCTTCACTCAGGTGTCTGCTTTAAACTCACTTCAGAAAGGCCTTCTCTGACCATCTCTCTCTATCCCTTCCCCCTTCCCCTTTCTTGACTTTTTAAAATAACACTTACCACTTCCTGTCTAGTTTGCTGCTGTTTACCCCATTTTTGCTGCTATGAAGGAAGGCGTGAAAGAAAGACACATTACGTGAATGATCTCATTCTCTCTCACTGGCAAAATTCAACTCTTTATTTGTTCCTCCTGCTGTAGTATTTTTCATATATATAAATATACCTCTCTAAAGACATGGGTTATCTTTAGCCAGATAAATGGGGAGGGGGGGAGTCTCCATTGGTGTGGTCTATATTCTTTGCTTTGTCTTGGTTTTGCTAACAATCTTTAGGTTTTTACAATTAGCAGCTCATAAATTTCAAAAACTGAAAATAAGTTAAGACTATCAAACCTGTAAAATTCTTTGTAAATCTAAGACTCTGTTTTCATATCTATTGCCCCAAGATATAGCCTGGAAATTTAATAAATTCAGTTCTCTGCTTCTTCTGGCCAAGAAAGTCTCCGTATAATTTAACCTGCAACCCTTCCTTCCTGCTGTTGGCTTTAGTTGATTTTGCCAAAAGAATGCCTCAACAGGGAGACTCTTTAGGGGGAAGAAAGTAGAATAAAGCGGAGTTTGAGAGTAGATATTTTTAAGCTTAAAAATTATATCCGATAATCGGAGTTAGTTTTTAAATATAATAAAAGGAAAGTGAGCACAGATAGCAAAAAACTCAGTTAATTAATTTAGATGGATTAAGACTCTCTCTATAGGATATTTTCTAGAATCATGGTAGCTACGTGGCAAGGAATCCCCGAAATGAGCCTAAGGTCACGGTCCTCTCTCTTAACCCAGCCTCAGGATAATGCATAGTCTAGGAAGACCGGAATTAAACCTTGCACAAATTTTAACTTGGTAGCTAGATGCAACCTTGTCTACCTTAAAGAAGTAAAGACTATTGAAAGAGTAAAGGAATCACAGAAGCTAGAATGTATGGTAAGAGAAAAGGGAATCCAGGTTAAGAAAAAATATATATATATTAGAATAGGAGAAAAAAGAGAAGGGCAGCCATAAATTAGATTGAACAGCTCATCTTTTGCCCCCAGGTATCCAGATTTGTAACTCAACTACTCTTAAAAATATGGCAATGCCTTTAACAAATACCCATCAAAAATATAGACCGATTGGTGACTAATTATTCATTTCACTAGGCTGTCTGGAGATTCTACTTTGAAATGGGATTATGTATAGGAAAGTTCTTAGAAACTACTAAACATAAAAAATTAGGATATAAAGCTAATGATGATCTTTAACCTAACTGTTGTTGTCACAGCATGGGTATGGACTTTCACCTCATGCATTTATTCAAACAAACAGTTACTGAGCCATATCTACTAAGTGCTCAACACCATACAATATGCTAGGGATATAATAATGGACAAGACAAACACGGTCTTTTTTCTCATGGAGCTTACCTGCTGGTGAGAAAAACATAAAAATTAAGTAAATAAAAATTAAAATAATTGCAAACTATATTAAGTGCTAAAGGAAACAAAGAATAGGATGAGATACAGAATAATAATAATGAAACCTATTTTAAGGGAGGAAGTCTCAGGGAAAACTTCTCTAGAGAGGTGAAGGATTTGAAGAACTGGAGAAGGGTACAGCACTCAAGGAAAGGAAACTGTATGTACAAAGGTGGGGAAGAGCTCAGCACCTCAGAGGAACTGAAAGAAAACCAGTGTTTCTGGATGGAACATAGTGAACAAAGTTACAGAGGCAGGCAGGGATCAGATCACATAGGCTGTGGTTAGGAGCTTAAAGTTTATTCTATGAACAATATGAAGCCACTCAAGGATTTTACATTATTTTAAAAGGATCCAATTTCCATTATAAGAAGGGTACTTTTGCAGCTCTGAAGTGAGACAAGAACAGAAGAAAGGAATTCAATTAAAAGAATACTCTGGTGGTCCAGAGGAAAGCCTAGATTAAGGTAGAAGGAGTAGACAGATTTAAGATGGATTTTGTACAGACATATCAAAGTCAAAATGTTCCAGTATGAACCCCAAATCTTTCTTGCCAGCTGCTCTACCTGCACCGCCCATCCTTATAGCAGTAGACTCAAAATTTTATAGTCATTCCTGACTCCTCTCACAACCCTCATCCAACCAGACAGCGAATCTTGCTGACTCAACCCTCAGAATAGATCCAGAAGCTATTCTGACTACTCTCCTGCTACTACCCTAGCTCAAGCCACCATATTTTCTCATCCAGATTAATGAAACAGACTCTTAATGCTCTCCCTGTTTCCACTCTTATCCCACTACAATCTATTCTTCATACAGTTGCTAAAGCAATCCTTTTAAGTTGAAGTTAGGTCATGGCTGCTCAAAATCATGCAATAGCTCAAAGTAAAAGTCAAAGTCCTTAGAACCACCTACTGCAATGGTTCTCAAACTTTAGTATGCATTTGAATCATCAGAAAATCAGAAAGGCTTATTTAATTCACTTAGTCTTGGGTGGGACCAAAGAATGTATTTTGATGAAGTTCCCAGGTATGTTAGTCTGAATCCTCTGAGAAGTAGACGTCAAAATGTACAAGAAATTTATTAGGGGAAATAACTGTGAGAGAAAATGAGGGACCCAGGAGAGGTGGGGACAGCCACCAGACTTAGATACAGGTCTGATCCCAAGTGGAGGAGAGAGGGACAGAGGGAAAATCAATGGAAGTGTCTTCTATTGCAGTGTGATTCTAATGAAAGATCAGAATGGCTGTTGGAGAGTCCTCAAGTGTCTCCCCGGAACCTGCCTTAGTACCCTTGCCACACTTAGTCATTGGCTGGGAGAAGCCTCTGGAAGCAACTTCAGCACATATGGGATGATAGTTGGATTTCAGAGCAGTAGCTGGGGCTGTTGGTCAATTATGCTCCCTATTTTTTGGAGATCCGAGTGGTACATTCTCATGGTTGTCAAACTAGCTAAAGCTGATGTTAGTGAAACCAAAGAATGGAAACTATACCTTGAGAACCACTGGCCAGCATGTTCTCCATCCTCTCATACCTCTCTAACCTCACTTTGTCCGACTCTCCTCTCTCTCCATTCCAACATGACCTCCATGCTACTCCTACTCCCTCACTTTCAGTCTTTGCTCAAATGTCATTTACCTTGTTGATGACACCTTCCCTGATTACCCTATGTAAAACTGCCACGAGTTCACTTTCCCACCCCAGTACTGATCCTTCTTATCCTGCTCTACATCTTTTGTTCTACAGCACTAATTGTCATGTGATAAATAGATTTATTTATTTCATGCTCTATCTATTGGTTATTTCTGTTTCCCATTACTAGAATGTAACCTCCTTGGGGGTAGGGATCTTTGTTTTGTTCACCAAAATATTCCAAGCACCTAGAACAGTGCCTGGCACATAGAAGGTGCTCAATAAATATTTGATGAATGAACTACATGAATTTCTACAGTTCTAGGAAGCAGAGAAATGGAAAAGGTTAAAACAGAAAACACTGTTAACCATCTTTCATTGCAATAAAAATGTACATTAAAAAGTTACAGCAAGAGATATGCCCCAGTTCCATTAGATTAGAAGTAAAAGAAAAACAAACAGAGTATGTTTGAATCAGATATGTTTTCCTTCCATTAGAATAGCAATAGAAATACTAGAGATAAATTAAAATTTAAAAAGATGTTATCACATACTTACATTCCTGAAACTAATGACACTTTGAACACGTGCTGAGCAGTGGAAGATGGATTGCCTAAAGCCACATTAAGTGCTCTGTCGATACTGAACGCCATCTGAGAAAGATAGCTTTCTGGCTGCTGTCCATAACCATCATATGGCACATAGAGGTAAGGAAAGATGCCATGTAGATGAAGACACGTCTTCTGACCTAAAATGTAACACATCATAAAGTTTAGTCTCAAGATGCATTTCAAAATTTTAACATTACAAAGCTCAGAGTGTAAGTCATTTATATGTTCCATTGACAACAAAGCTTATCTAAGGTAAGGGCTGAAGAAAATTAACCCATAGTTAAACCCACTTATATTAACTATATTTTACAACAGAACATTTAGAAGCATTTTATAAACGTAAGCATTATAGTATGATTTAAACACAGTTTTGATGAAAATATGTTTGAATATGTGACCCTCACAAACTAGTTTTACATACTTCACTGAATTGCCCTGTAATACCACATAGCACAGAGTTATGAAGCTTACAAAAATTCACTGGAAGTTTATTAGATAAATCAATGTCTGTCTTAAGCTAAATGTTTTCACACAAGAGACTTCGCTAAGACAGAGACAGCTCTGGAAGAAAGGAGAGGGTAAAAGCAGTTCCAGTGTGTAGAATTTTGCTGGGGGAAAGGAGGGTAAAAACAAAATTTTGCTATTAGAAAAAAAAAAACCTAGACAAAAACCAATGAAAAGGAAATCCTACAGATCAGTTGTCTGCAATGGGCTTCTGGATTTGCATTTGGTGGAGTGGGACATGAGGAGACACAATGAGAGGAGAAAAAACAAGCATGGACACTCCCCAGGAAGCCATTATATCAGGTAAGGTGCAGAAGGGGTAAATGGTGCTGACTTGCCGACAGACAATCTGGCAGAGCCACGATAAAGAAAGTAATATGACTAAGAATCTACAAAAGAAGTGTCACAGAAACAGTCATGCATCTATGACAAGGTTAAGTAACAACATAAACAAAAAGCAGATGCACCATTACTCTCATGAATCTGGCAGGGTATGGAAGTGGTTCCTGTCCTCAGAGCATTGTCCCTAGTTCCCCTTGGGTACATGCCATTTGTCTAACTCAAACAGAGAGGAGAACAGCAGTGATGGAAGAACACATCCATTTTTCTCATGCTGTCACTCACTATCGCTGTGCTGCCCTGCCAACACAATCTTCGGGCTTCTTCCCCACCCCTTATCCCACTCTGCTTCACTGGGCTTTTCTTTTGGTAGGAAAGTAACTATTCGTTTGATTACTATTTCCTATTTATAATTTAGAATGATTTATATAAAAATAGTTTTGTGTTTTATTGATATCTTGTATTTACACTTCTTATAGTTAATAACATCTTATTTTTAAGGTACAGCTATAACAGAATTAACAAATAAATCTGGAATAGTTCTTAATTATATAAAGTATAGCAAAATTAGAAAGATCACTCACATAATGAAGTAAGATATATGCTCTCTCGAGTACAGTATTTTGATTTGAACTACCAACTTTCACACTTTTGAAGAACTACAAATTGTGTTGGTGTTAGACCAATTTCAGTTTCTATTTTTAGCAGCAGTTATGCTACGTAATTTCAAAGGAATGTAAAAAATATTTTTGGTTAAAATAAAATTCTTTGACTATTTTCTTTCATTTCTAAATATAACATGGTACTATTTTTTAAACATTGCAGTTTTTTAATTCTTCAAATAGAAACTATTCAAATTGGAAGGATGAGTGAGTCTTAAGAAAATATATTTAATCAATTTACTGATATCTACCTGAATGCTTTTTAAACATCTCATGAAAAAAGCTTATAACTTTTACCCTTCTGGATATAAACTACAATTTGGTTAAGAGCAACTGGCATGCTAAACCATGGAGTGAGGGAGGTGGGAAGACAGAGAAGTATTCCCTTTTAAGGCGACAAATCTAATACCAGTGATTACAGAATTACTAGTGTAATAGCATATTTTACAAGCAATATTTTAAGCTCCAAAGTTATTAATTTTACAGTCTATATATCTTAATAATAGAAATTTGGGTGAATCTTAAAGAAATAATTATAAAATTTGATTTCTACTAATAGTTCCTTTATAGGCAGGGTGGTCAAAGTTCATAAAATATTTTTAAAATATCTTTTCACAACTCCTGTGAAGTAAGGGCCAGAGAAATTATCTTTCTATTTATAGGCTTTGGAACTACAGTAATTTGTGGTGTATGATTTAGGAGAAAAGCAGGAATTATTTATTCAGCAGGCACTGGACTAAGTGCTTTACATATACTCATTTCTAAAACTTAGAACAACCTTGCAAGTATCACAAAAGTTAACTTTCCCAAAGTCACATATCCATTAAGTAACTGAATCAGGATTTGAAAGCAGATCAACGAAATCTAAAACCCATGCTCTTTCCATTTAACCATGCTGATTCAATTTTTTAAAAAGTTAATGTTGGTTTCCTCAAACCTTAATTTCTCAGTTCTTATTTTGTATTGTAAACATCTGTTTTCTTATGTGACTCTCCCATTTGACTGCAAATTCTTTGGGAGCTGGTGCTATGTTTGAATGATCATAATATCCCCAGGATCCAGCACAAAACACATAGTATGTGTTTAATAAACATCTGTTAAGTAAATGAATGAAGCCTCAGCAAAATAGAATAATTGTGAAAGGAGAAAGGAATGGCGTGAAAGCCCTGAATATCTGAAAAAACATATCTATGAAAACAGAGGGACTCTGATACAACTAAGGAATACCATCAGGATTTCAACAGGACATGGGTGTTGGGACGAGTCCCCAGCTTACTGCACTTTCCTACTCTGCATGACCCAAAGTCCCATTAAAGCTGGAGTCACTACATCAACACAGATGTACCTATTTCTGGTTCTCCAGCAGCTAGGGATGGCTCGGTGCCTTACTCATCACCCTTTCCCAACAATAACCTCCTGAAGAACAACTACAGCACAAAGAATTCTTTCCACGGCACTGATGGCTTTACTATAGAGTAAGAATCACAGAGACGAAAATGATGAGAAACAAAAGAAACTCAAAAAATTAAATAAGGAAAGAGGAATGTGCTAAAATGAATATGAGTCAATTTTTTTTGGCATAGGGTGTCTCTTACTATTGGAAAATTTGTAGTTATGCAATGGCTTTACTTTACCTTGACAAGATACAGATCACTTCTAGTCATTTCCCTCCATCAGCTCTACCCCCAACAGACGTGTAGAGCTATACAGATGTAAAGTCTCTTCGAGATCAACTAGTCTACCCCAACCCCCATCACTTAGGATTAGGTTCACTTGTGAGAACACAACCTAAAATCAGTAGCTCAAGCATTAAATTGTGGCTTCTTTCCCATAAAGAAGTATTAGGTGGTATTAGGGATTTAGGTTTTTTCAACATATAGTTAGTGGCCTAATTAAGAGGAACTTGAGACTTCAGTCCAGATGCTTTTCCACTATATTTTAAGAACGTTTTCATAAAATTAGTGAAAGCTATGCTATTTTGAAAGCTAACTAAATGATTTGGGATTCTTACAAGATTTAGAATATTAGCTATTTCTAGTTAACACGTGGATCCAAACAAAGAATATACCCCTACTTTCTGAGTGTCCCCTCTTATTGTCAAGTTAAACTGAATTAAGGGCAACAAATCCATTTTCAAAAGATTTTTAAGAGTTTGGATTTTCCACCTGGCCCAATGGTGTAGTGGTTAACTTTGTGCACTCTGCTTTAGCAGCCCAGGGTTTGCAGGTTCGGATCCTGGGCGTGGAGCTATACACTGCTTGTCAAGCCATGCTGTGGTGGCATCCCACATACAAAAATAGAGGAAGATGCCACCGATGTTAGTTCAGGGCCAATCATCCTCACCAAAAAAATTAAATTTAAAAAAAAGAGTTTGGATTTCCAATTTGACTGATGTTGCTTAATTCAGAAACTGCAACAAAGCTGTTTCAGGAAAGCTCCATGGAATCTTGTCACAGCATAAATGCTGGCTTTTAAAGACACCATGGCAAAACTGTGGGATTGGCCACTTTTCAGTTGTGTGTAAGTAGGGTTTCTAAAACCAAAGTAGGTGTCCCTGTTAACACATAGTACTTGGGTACTCTGAATCTAATCTTTCACAGAACTTACAATTATCTAACCATTAAGTCCTCTGTATTCCAATGTTTCTTATGTCATTTTCCCATCTTTTCTTCTATATTTTGAATGCCTAGATTTGGTCTCTTAATTAAATTGTGCATCTAAAATCTTGTTAGTTTATCTGTAGCAAAATTACCCGTATTTTTGTAGATCCACTTTTGATAAACAGAAAGACTAACGTACCAATCCTCTTAACTCTCGGGTCTGCAAATTTTTTTCTGTAAAGCGGCAGATAGTAAATATTTTAGGCTTTATAGGCCACACTGTTTCTGATACAACCACCTAACTTTGCTGTTATAGCCTGAAAGTAGCCATAGACAGTATTTAAGTGAATGAGTATGGCTGTGTTCCAATAAAATTTCATTTACAATAACAGGCAACGGCAGGGATTTGGTTCACGGACAGCAGTTTGCCAATCCCTGCTCTAATGGATTAGATTTCTTCATCATCCAGAAAAGTTTAGTGTCTTCTTCCTTTTTTTTTTTAAACAAGCTGACTGGTAACCACAATCAAAATCATGCTGGCCTAAGAGTATCTTAGGAGACTGAATAAGAAATGCTTATGCGTAATTTGCAAAATTCATCTCCCAAATCTCAAATTCAATCTACACAAGATTTTAAACAACTCTACAGAGCTATAAAACAAAAAAAATTGATATGTGAAGATGAAAATTCCTATTTATAGAATTTTTCATATTTTCTTCTTCCTGGAATATCTCTTTGTAAGTTTTATATCATTATCTATTTCCCTGCAGTCTTTCTTTGCTTCTATCTTTCTAAAGTTTCACTTCATCTTTCTTTCCCCATCCCTACAAAACTACAAAATGAACCAAACCCCTCATAGTCACAGTTAGAAAGCGTTAGATCACCTATTCTCATTAAAAAAAAAAGTCTTAAGTATATTACTCTTAGCCCTAGAAATTACATATTCAGAATTTATCCTAAGGAAAAAATTAAGAATGTACATGAAGATTTAGACATTAAGAGGCTAAGACAGTATTACCAATAATAGTAAAA